ATGGTTGAGTCCCAAGGCCCCCGACCCTTGGGACTGGTTGCAGGTATCAGGGGGCATGGCTGAGGTCCCCAGCCCTGCCCACTCCCTGGCTTAGTAGGTCCTTCTAGGTTTTATACATATGTGTTCTTTGATGGTATTAGACCTTTACTGGTTAATGTCAAACTTTGTCTCTAATCTGTGGGTATTTTGTTTTTTTCTTTCATTTATGTGTTGGATTATGTGCTGTTCCCACCACTTAAACTCTGCACTGGAACTAATTTGTTGTCCTTTGCTTACTTCTAAAATGGAGGAACTTTCTATGGGTACCAGCACTTGAGCCCTGTAGTTGAGCTAAATTGCTGCTTTGCTGCTGATTCCCTGTGGAAGGCTTTTTGTGCAGCTCAGGTTTTAATGGTTGACTTTATAGGTGCTTCCAGGACATGTGACGTCTGGTACACCTGGGTTGCGTGGAAACTCTGTTCTGGGCCTGAGTCTTTTCAGCAAACTGCACCCCATGCAATCCTATATTCCTGACCAGTCTCCTCTGAGTGGTCCTGTGCTGACTGGAGGGCAGATCAGCTGTCCTTGCTGTTCTCCAATGTTCCCCTGGTGGGCCTGTCTCCCCCACCCCCTGCACTCCAAACACTTCCCATGGGACGGGCCATGCACTGGTCCCTTGTGGTGACTCACCAGCCTCTGAGTGGCTCCTTTTTTTCGGTTCTGGCTCCTTACTCCTATGTGGGTCCACAGGAACCCTATTAGTGGTCTTGTCCTGGGGGCCACCAAGGCCCTCTTCTCCCCTGCAGCCTCCAAGCAACTCCATCTGAAGGGCACAGCTGCAGTTTTTGCCGGCTCCTGCTCCATGTGCTCAGCAGCCCCAGCTTGGAAGCAGCTGGGGCTCGAAACGGTGGGAGTGATCTTTTCTTTATCTCATCGTGGCTTCTCCCACCTTCATGAACTCCATAGGTCTCTCCTCCTCTTTCCCTGAGGTCTAGTTTCCCCAGCCTGTCTGTCGTTGCTTTTTAATAGTTGTAAATTCGTTGATTTGTGGGAGACAGTGACACTGGGGACTGTCTATTCCGCCATCTTTACCAGAAGCTCTCAATAAAAATTTTTAAAATTTTCTGTTAATGTCATACAAACCTTTTGTTAGGTTTCTAAATGTATTTACATTTTTATTGCTATCGTATATTTATAGCAGCCAGCCTCCAAAATAGCTCCCAATGATCCTTTCCTCCTGGTAGTCATACCCCTGAAAGATCCCTCTCACCCTGAATAGTGCTGACCTGTGTAACTGAAAGGACATCATGGAAATGGCAGAGCATGACTGCTGAACCAAGTCCATAAAAGAAATTGTGGCTTCTACTTTGTTTTCTATTGGGTCTCTTGCTCTGAGAGAAGCCAGCTGCCACATCATGAGGAAACTTGGGCAGCCCTACAGTGTTGTCCATGTGGGTAAGAACTGAGGCCTCCCATGAAATTTGCCAGCCAAGTAAATGATCCATCTTGGAAGCTGATCCTCCAGTCTCAGGCAAACCTTCAGATGACTGCAGCCTCAGCTGACACCTTAATGCAACCTTATGAAAGACTCTGAGTCAGAATGATCCAGCTGAGTCATTCTGAATTCCTGACCCTGAATGAGATAATAAATTGTTATCATTGCTTTATATACTAACTTTTAGGGTAATCTGTTTTGAGGCAATAGAAAACAAATACAACGTCATATTTTTTCTTAATTTTTTTTTTTTTTTTTTTTACTATTTAGGCTGTTGTATGTAGGATGTAAACAGAAATTTATTTCTCCTGGTTCTGGAGACTAGAAGTTCAAGATCAGAGTGCAAGAATGGTCAATGTAACACACAGAATTAACCATCACACCCACTGAAAGGGTACCCTATTCTAGCTTCTGCCTTGCTTGAGCCCTTTTTTCCTGGCCTCTGAAAAATTCTCTTAATTTCCCACCAGCTCAGCCTCAGGACAACATGAAAAAAAAAAGTTTTATTGGGTTTTTGTTTGTTTACTTTAACATTTGATATTGCATTTATAAGTGTGCAATATTGGGAAGGGTTTTACTTAAGGCCTCATTCATTGTATAAGCAGAAAGCTTACTGGGAACATACTCATATTTTAGAATTTTTGTTAAAATATATTTAAGATATAGCAACATGTTAGAAGAAAATATTGAAGAATATGTTAATAACCTTAGTTATAGAGACCTTCTTGAGCTAAAACTACAAAACCTGTAGAGAACTAATATTGATTAATGTACTTAACTGCATAAGCATTTAAAATGTTTGTGTGAAAACAACACTTTAAACACAATTAAAAGACCAAAAAGCACCTAGAAGAAAATATTAACCATATATAATGAAAGATACATATACATAATGAATTAATACAAGTCAATAAAGAAAACACACAAAACCAATTGGAAAATGAGCAAAGGATAAGACAGACACTTCCTAGAAGAGGATATACAAAAATATGCTGAATGTCACTGGTTATTAGAACAGGGTTATTAAAATAGTAAGACATTGCTATGGGTCAAATGTGTCCCCCAAAAGTTTGTGTGCTGGAAACTTGGTCCCCACTGTAACAATGTTAAGAGGGTTGGAATTTATTTATTTATTTTTTTTAAAGATGACCGGTAAGGGGATCTTAACCCTTGACTTGGTGTTGTCAGCACCACGCTCACCCAGTGAGCAACCGGCCATCCCTATATAGGATCCGAACCCAGGGCCTTGGTGTTATCAGCACCACACTCTCCCGAGTGAGCCACGGGCCGGCCCAAGAGGGTTGGAATTTAGAGACGTGATTGAATCATGAGGATTGTGGCTTCAGGTATGGATTAATCCATTCATGGAGTAATGAGTTATTATGGGTGTGGACCGTTGGCTTTATAAGGAGCACATGAGAGAGTTCTTGCCATTCTCGCCATGTGATATGCTGCATCATCACAGGACCCTGCAGAGAGTTGCCACCCAGAAGGCCCTCACCAGATGTGCACCCTGGACCATGGACTTCTCAGCCTCCAAAACTGCAAGAAATACATTTCATTTCCTTATGAATTACCCAATTTCAGGTATTCTAAAATAAGCAACAGAAACTGGCTAATATATAGACATCATCTTTTACCTATCAGATGAAAATTTAAAAGATTGATAATATGTTAGACACAGTCACTATTAGTGAAAGTGAAAATAGGTACAGATATTTTGGAGGACAGTTTGGAAATATATCTATTGAAATTTACAATATATTATTTTGGGGATCTTTGAGGCAATGCTTAGATGATGTACCATCCTCCTGCCAAATTCCCAGTAGTTTAATAGTCTCTTTCTTTAAATCAATGAGTGAAAGGGTTCTGAACTCAAAGAGGCAAGCATCAGTTAGAAAAGTTTTTTAGGTAAGTCACTTTATTTTCTTTTCAAGTTTCTTCCCAAACTGCTTCTTTCTCATATGTCATATTATCTTTTGCAAGGACACTTAATGGGAATATGGCCCTTTTCTACACTTTGAATGTACATACAGTTTTTACTTCCAGAGTTGTTGGAATTACAGGATAAAGTCAGAAGGTAAATATGTAGTCTGAATTCACTGAATATCAGCTTTCTTAATTTTGCTGAGCGTCACCTGAAGCCCAAACAATTTCTTTTCCTAAATCTTGCTACTGTCAGTATGAACCTAGTCCATTGGTGCTGCTGTAACAGAATACCTGAGACTGGATCAGTTATAAAGAACAGAAATTTATTGGCTTGTGCCTCTAGAGGCTGGGAAGTCTGAGAGCATGGCATTGGCATCTGCAAGGGCCTTCATACTGGCATCATCCCATCACTGAAGGCAGAGAGCAAAAGAGATGAGACGGAGAGGGCAAGAGATCAAACTTGCACCCTCACGCTGTTTTATAGTTGGCTTTAATCCATTCATGAAGGTGGAGCCCTTGTGACCTAAACACCTCCCATTAGCCCCCACCTCCCAACAGAGTCACACTGGGGATCAAGTTTTCTATACATGAACTCTGAGGGATGCATTCAAACCATAGCATCAAGATAACATTAAGTTTTCAGCTATGACCCCCTCTGGTTCCTCAGCATTCAGATAGTAAGGTTCTCCTTGTTAACTGGTGAACTGCATCCATGTAGCATGTAGATGACTTGAGATCTATTCCTTGGATATGACCTTGTCACTGGTTCTCTTGATATGATTCACCTCCCCCGTTTTGAACAATATGATAGTCTAATAACAACATTTCCTTTATCATTTGGAGTACTAAAGGCAGCTTCCTCTGTTCACTGACAAAGGTATTACAAAGTAGCAGGTATGCAAAATTCCTTAAGACATAATGCAAATGTGTGGGAAAGGGCTTGGAAGTAGTACTATGCAGTGGAAGGAGATCACAAAGGATGTTAAAGGACATCATACATCTGTCTTATGGTAATATAACTTACATAAATTATCCCCCTGGACTAGAACAATCTGAGTCCTGCTGTGTCATTCTGCCCAGCACAGTTTAGCGAGTGCATTTGGTTTACAAATAAGGAAGGGTTGTATGGAAAATGGCCAAGAAAGCCCTTCCTCAGGATTGTCCCCAGCACCTGCATGTAACTTTTAACCCAGTAATTCAACCTCTAAGAATCTATCACTAAACAAACAAACAAAAAAATTGTATGTGTCTAAAGAAGCACTTATAAGAACGGGTATTTATTTCTTCACTGTTTATACAAGTAAAAAATTAAAAACAGCCTATATAACCATCAATAGAGAAAAATTTAAACATATTTTGTCATTCTATGCTGTGGAGTATTTAGCAGCAGCTAAAAAGAGAATGAAGGAGATACAATGCATAGTGACATAAAAAGGGTATCAGATTAAGTGAAAAAAAGTTGCAGAACAGTACACAACAGCATAAAATAATTTAGGTTAAATATAAGTATATGTTTTACCTAAATATTTTGTTTGTGCATGTGCTTTATATACTCCCACATATATATACTCACACATATCTATTTTAATAGGTATATAATGCACATGTGGAAATGCATGGAGAAGGGGCACGTGGAAGGCTGTTCCTGTACCACTGTGCAATGGACGAGGTCACTGTGAAATGGTAATAGGGGTTTACAATTTCTTTGTATTATTTTACAGTGAGAATATCTTCATGTAGTGCTTGAGTAATTAAATAATTTTTTAAAGAATTTGTTTTTTTTAAAAGAAGAGGAGAGGTTGGTTAAGATTAAAGGAGCTGGAGGAAGGTTCTTGACCTGTGTCCGGGCCACCTGAGAGGTAAGAGGAAGTCTGAAGTGATAATCTGAGGGTAGAATTTGCTGAACTCATGCATTCATTTTGTAAAATTCCAAAAACTTTTATCATACATTTAGTATATGCTAGGTGTTGTGCAAAGAAATATTCAGATATGAAAGCTATAATTCTCTGCCCTCTGGAGTAAACAGACAATAATAAAGTGAGATCAGCAGTAAGACCCCACTATGCCTGGTGGCTCAGAGAAGTACAAAGGTTGGGGGAAGCCTGCCATGTCCCTCCAAGTGCAAGACTTGGCTTTCTGGCTTTCTGCTGTCCCCCAGTGATCACCATGTATACTGTCTTGGCTGAAAGCCAGAGCTGGCACTGTGTGTGCCTTATGCGTAACATCAGGAATTACTGGACTTCCAGCAAAGTAGGTTCTGTGCTGGGGTGGGCAGCAAGGTCTCTTCTATAGCTAACAATGCTTTCTGAGCTATAATGATATAGGCAGCAGGATTTTAGTACCTTCAGTCACCTCTCTCTACTACCACTACACAGTTTCTATGATGCCTTCAATTTCTTTAGCAGAGAATAGCTTTTATTATGAAATTTAAAACCTGACATTTTTAATGCAAATGCTGTCTGAAAGCTATTCAAACTAAAATACACAAAATCAATCTGTAGTCAATAAATACGAAACAAATTAATGAATGACAAAATAAATGAAACCAGATCCGTCCAAGTTTGGCAAAATGTAACTGATACAGCAGATTGATATTTTGATATTAACCAAGTATATTTTTCATTCTCTATAATTCCATTATGATCTGTGACCCCTCCCTCAACTTCAGGCAGCAGAGAGTAGCTGCTTCTATGGTCTTGGAGAGGAAGGTTGCAACAGACAACAGAGAGAAACAGAGTCTATTTTCAGTCAGTTTTGGGTTTCAAAATGGATCTTTTAAATTCCTTGCACAGACAATAAACTAAGAGAATGATTTTTTGAGGATCAGAAGGTAAAGTTAATGCCATATGCATTTGTTTCTGAAGAATGCATGATACCAGGATGAATTTTCCTTCCTGTATTAGTCTGCTATGGCTGTCATGACTAGGTGGCTTAAACAACAAAAATTAATTCTCTCACAGTTCTGAAATCTGGGAATTCAAGATCAAGGTGCTGGCAGGGTTGGTTTCTAGTAAGGCCTCCTTTCCTGGCTTGCAGACATATGCCTTCTTGCTGTGTCTTTACATGGTCTGTCCTCTGTGCACGAGCTCCTGGTGTCTTTTCTTTTTATAAGGATGCCAGTGCTATGGATTAGGGTCTCACACTATGGCCTCAGTTAATTTTAATTACCTTCTTAAAGCTCCTGTCTCCAAATATAGTCACATGGGAGACTAGAACTTCAACATATGAATTGGTGGGGGGAACACAAATTGGCCCATATCACTTCCTTAAACTTGTTACATCAGCTCTGTACAAAAGGAATACAAAGCAATTTAAGTTTTTCTAGTAGCTGTATTTTTTAAAAAGTAAAAAGAAACAAATAGAATTGTCTAACACTATACTTTATTTAATTCAACATTTCCAAAATATTATCATTCAAAATGTAAGCTATACTAAAATTATTAATATTTTACTATCTATTCTTCATACTAAGTTTTTGAAATTGGTGTGCATTCTCACTTTCAGTACATCTCAATTTAGACTAACCACATTTTCAGAGCTCAGTGGCCACATGTGACTAGTGGCTACTGTATTGCACAGTTTGTAATGTTAGATAATTCTCCAAGCTGAAGAGAGAGTAGGGTGAAGTGAGAGGATGACTCCAAGAGATGGCTGAGGCCACAGGGGTGGCCAGCTGAGGGAGGAGTCATCATGAGTGGTAGAGTCCCAGGTAAGTTTGGGGACCTCAGAGTAAAGGAACCCTTCTCACTTCTCAGGTGGGGCCAGACTAAATAGGAAAGAGTAGAAATGACAACAAGATGTGTCCGAGACAGCCCCCACCCACGTCCCCACAGCTCCAGAGTAGCACAGGAGAGCATCTAGCAGTTCCCCAGGTCCCTAAAAGGGGCAAGGACATGGCTCAGGGAGAGCCACCACAGTCAGAATAAGGGAGCTACATGTGCTAGGGCTGATGCTGGAGATGACAGGAATGTGGACACCAGCAGCAAATGCCAGCCTGGAGGGCCGTTAGTAGTCAAGAACCCAACACTTCACCCCACACCTTTGGAACTTAGATGCCACCTGGGGAGATGAAAGGGGAGAAGGGAAATTCTTAATTCATTTTTAAAAAAGAAATGATTTTCTTTAAAAGTAAGCTTATTTGCAGTATACCAAACTATATTTCTGCTATGACAAAGTGGAAGCCTGAAATAGAAATTTAAGTTCAGTTATAGACTTTTAAGTTCAGTTTTGTGAATTGATAACATAGATCTGGTTACCCTGGGTAAGCATGAAGGAGACCAGTAACTACCAAGCGGGTAAAAGGGTCCCTCACAGAGCAGCCAGGGCTTTAACGCTGTCTGGGAGGGGGGACTCCTTCCAGGACCCGCGCCCAGTCCAGCAGACGGCATGGTGACCTTGGAGGGACCCCATGGCCAAGCCTCTGTGTACATAATTTGTTCAGACCTTGCTGTTTTTTTTTTTTTAACCACACCTTATTTCTTCTCTGCTGTCTCCATATTGACCCCTAGAAGTGTGCCTCCCTCTTCGTCGGTGCTCTGAAACAGTGAAAGATGGTGGGAGGCAGATCGGGATTGTGAAACTGCTGGAATTAGTGTCCTGAAGCCAGAGACAGTACACTACAGTGAACAAAGAACTTCCTCACTAGCTCTTCGTTTGATTGGATTGGCTTCTCCGACTCACACTCACTGATTCAAAGTTCCTAGGTTGTGGCTGGGTGGCTCCTCCCTAGCACAGACCTACTCCTTGGGAAGACCTTTTCCTAGGGCCGGAGCTTCTGGGGTACAAAATCTAAGGGGACATTCACTCTCAAGCTGCCCCCAAGAGGGAGTGCCTCCTTAAATTTTGCATCCCAGGTGTCTCACTCACCTAGACCAGGACTTCTCCTTAGGCTTTCTCCCACCTGGAAACGAAAATTCTTCCTGTCCCCAGGTTCTCCGGTGGTCTGTCATTGTGGGTGGCCCTTATGCCTCTGCATCCCAGGGCTCTCCTCAATGCACACATCCTCACAGAACACTAAAGACACCACAGCTAGCAGACCAACCTTGCTTAATCTCCACTACACGTGGAGAAGTGAATACTGCCAGGAGGGCTTTTTTCCCTCTTTAAATTGCAGAATTATAGGACTTTGGGCCTAGAGCAGACTTTAATGATCATATAATTTTATGTGCCTGCTAATAGGAGTTTTAAGGCTTTGTGTATGTTCTTTTGTTTTACTTTGGAGATTTTCAGAGGGCTATTGGTGAAGTTATCTTCTTAATAGTGGTTTAGTGAGAAAAAGTCACTCCCAGGACTGTCATCTGTTAGGGAAAATGGTAAAGTCCACGTAACCAAGTCAGCTAAAATAACTGGAGCTTCTAGCAAGCAGTGACACAGCAATCAGAGCATTGGTAATCAAAGAACCGTAGCTAAACCAATGTGTAATGGAACCATTCATGTTTCTGTGATTGGTTTCAAGCAAATATCTCTCTATCCTTTAGGACCAATGGGACCAAAGTAATATTAAAATAAATAATATGAAGTTAAAATAGAGTTCATAATTTGATTATGAAATCTCCAGAGGGTCAAAATAAAGTAAGTAAAATGATGAAATTTCCAGAGGACCAATATAAGAAAAGTCAGGCAGGGTATGTAAATCTATATCCAAGCTACATTAGAGACTGACATACTATTGCTCAGTGAGTGCAACATAGTTTTTCCTCTGAATGCCAGCAACTGGGCTCTATATTTAGCTTAGTAAGTTTCCCAATCCTAAGAAATGTATTCAAACATGACAGTAATGGGAAAGCAGCTTTTTAATGCTCTATCTACTCTGAATACCAGTGATCTAATAACATACAGGACTTGAAACCTTCAAAGCATTTTATAAGCACTTGATAAAGTATCCTTCACAATCCACCGAACTCTAAAAATATCATTATAACATTTTATGAATGGGTACTCAATGCACAGACATTGAGTGACTCATCGCCAACAGAGCCAGGATTTGGACCCTGTCATTCTGGGTCCCCAGTCCAGTGACTACTTGATATGGACAGTCTCACTTCCTCTGCCTAGAAATGACTCAACTGACTAATCTGGTGGCAGAAACATCGTTTTACTAATTCAATTTCTTTCCCAGTTAATTCTATAAAGACTAAACTACATCACACTAGAGCTGTCAAACAGAAATGTTGGAATTTATGTTTATGTGTGTGATATATATGTTAAATTTCTCAGCTGCATAAATTTATTTCCACTTAATCTGAATTTCCCAAGAAACCTGACCTTACATAAATATTTTAAAAGGTAATTTAATTCAAAAGATTAAGTTAAAACAATCAAACAAAATATTATCATAATTAATTTTAAGAAAATACCCTTAAGGGACAGTTCAAAGAAAAATTAATTGCAAGAGGGGCTGCCAACATTTGCCAAGTAATGAAATTATCTGTCTTCTGAAATTCCTAAATTATACTTCAGAGAAATTAATAAATACCGCATCTGTAAAATTTTCTAAATCAATCTAAAGACTATTGTTCAGATTTTATGTAATAAAACATACTAGTGCTCCTGTTACTGGAGTTTTATTTTTCTGATTTCAAATGTACAGGATGACACAGCTTTGAGTAGAATCTGCTGGTGTTTCATTTCCTTCGTAAGCTATTCAAGATTGTTGTCAAAATATCATATGACCTAACACAAAATTTTAAATAAAGTTGGCATTTCATTTATAATATGATGCTGGAGAGTCTGCTTATTAATTCCAAATTCAAAGCATCAAGAAATCAAATATAAAATAACACAGTCTTACTTATTAGCCATATAGTGAAGATTTACTACCTTCTCTTAGCTGTACAATTATTCATCCAAACCAAAGACACATTCAGCTTAGTCATCAGAAAGGTTAAAAGACGGAAGCTCCTCTTGCCAAGAGTGAACAGTAAAATGAATCAGAAAATATTGATTTAATAACAGGGACCTATGTTCAGGTGGATCTGGCTAGAAGCCAGATATAGGAGGACATCTATTTAAGGGGAGAGCTGCAGCTTCTCTCTCCTACTTTTTGCCTCATGTTAATACAAGAATTTAAATGAGCAAGCCAAAATGGTGACTATCAGATAGAGTCACCATTATAGAGATATTTATAGAGATAGACTATTTGTCCCCCTAAAACACATGGCAGTGTTGGGAGTGGTTTGAGTCATGAGGGCAGATTCCTCATGAATGGACTAATGCTCTCCCTGGGGGAGGGGGGATTAATGAGTGAGTTCTCGCTCAATTAGTTCCCGTGAGAGCTGGTTGTTTAAATGGTCTCTCTCTCTGTCTCTGTCTGTCTCTGTCTGTCTGTCTGTCTCTCTCTCTCGTGAGCCAAATAAACCTCTGTTCTTTAAAAATTACCCAGCTTAGGTATTTTGTTATAAGCAATGGAAACGGACTAATACACCATTGAACATAAGAGAGTACTGTGTCTCTCATTTTGAAATCAGTGCAAATATTAAAGAAAAGCATGAAGAGCAAAAGCAGCCTTTTATCAATTGACTTAAGGACAAACATTTGAAAATTAACTGGAAAATCGGGTGAATCAATTTGGGGTACACACTGGGAACTCTAGATTTTTGTAGAAGACACCTCTATCACTGGTTCATTTGCAAAGTGAAGTGGGCTATTCTGTAATTATAGGATCAGTGCAACTGTTAAATGGTATCATTCGAGGAGCAGAGTTTCTGTCCTAATAATCCAACACTGCTTCAACTCTCCCTTGACTCTGTCTGCAGAAAGTCACTGTGTCACTCTGACCAAGTAAATTATATATCTTCATCTCATTTGCTTATCTGTAAAATGTAAAGAAGCTGTTTGAAGAATTTATTAGATCATAATTGTAAAAGGCTTTGCAAGCCTGATGTACCAGTTGCTTACTAAATAATAATGATTAAAAATGGGATATCCTTCAAAAGAATCTTAGGAGAAAAAAAAAAAGAAACTACTTTGGGGTTCATCTGAGAATAACTGAGACTCAGGAAGAAACTTCGACTCAAATGTTCTTAAGCAGCTGGGGGGGAGGGGGAAGCTCTTCCTTACCTCATTTTAAAAAGACACATGGGAAAGAACAGAATATAAAGGAAATTATATATGTCCCAAATAATGGTGCGCACTACTAATGCCAGTCCATATGCATCTATATACAAGGGTACTTCAAAAAGTTCATGGAAAAATAGAATTAAAAGATAATACAAATCCTTCCATGAACTTTTTCAAGTACCCTCATATATTTTTTAAATAAGGCTAGATTTTTATTAGCAGTTTAGAAAAATAAAGAGGAAGGTTTGCCTAAAATATCCAATAATTTAATTAAGAATATGTTTTAAACTTTAATTATTTGGAAAATTACCTCAGTTCCCTACATGATTTTGCTGGATTCAACCACACCCAAAATAATGACCAGGATATGAGAAATTAGTTCAGATAAGATATTATTATTATTATAAGAAGAAAATCAATATTAATTAAATGTAGAGAGAGGTCTACCAAACAGGTTGTGATGGGGAGTCAGACAGACCTGAGTTGGAAAACTGGCTCTGCCACTTGGTAGCTGTATGGCTTTTGACAAATTACTTAATCCTTGACTCTCAGTTTCTTCGTCTATAAAATAAGGTAATACCTCCCTCATTGGGTGCCTGTGAGAATTAAATGAGATTACATTTGAAGATTGACTGTTTAGAGCTTCACTGTCCATTAGGCACTTAAAAATAGTAACTATTCTCTTTTAACTGAATCCAGTACTTAATCGTGAGACTAAATGATCCCACTTGAGAAAATCTTATGCAGTGGTTCATTAACACTTTGAAAGAGCCTGAGCAGATCATCACTACAAGTGCTATAGATAACTCTTACAGGATAGTTGTTCTTATCATGATAGTATTTCAGGTTTTATTAGTACACACAAATTTTATATTCGATATACATTTTACAAGTTTTCTCAAAGTAAATATTATTTGTATGTATGTGTGTATATCTGTGTGTGTGTTTGTGTATTACTCTTTTTTGACAGATAACCACTGACAGATGGCCTGCAGGATATTTCACATATTTTCAGCATGTTAGAGATAAGGAATCTGAGCTCTCACCTCATCTAATAACCTCTCCTTAGAGATGAAGAAACTGAGGACCAGATAGTTTGGGTAACTTGTCCAAAATCACACAATGCTAGAATTGTGAATAAATTCAAGTCTCTTGACTATCAAACCAATGTTTTTTTAGTGCCTTTAAATAAAATTTTAAAACCAGTCCAATATACTGCTGTTTTAAAAAAAAATCCCAATGGGAAATTTTAAACATCTCCTTAGCAGAATCATGTTACACATCTTTGGGTTTACACAGGGCCTAGCAGTATTCTTTGACATAATGAGTGCTCAGTACATATATTTTAAATGAATGGATTTTTCTTAAGGCTATATAGTTTGTGTTACTCTTTTTTTGGTATAGTGGGACAAGATTGGATTTTGTCCTATATGATGGTGTCGGTCTAGGGCTCACACCCTTCAAACCCATTGTACAGTCTGGGTCACAGACCCCTCACATGCCAGGCTGGGTCACAGGACCCCTCCTGTGCCAGGCACAGACCCCTCACATGCAGGTCACGAGCTATGTAATAGGGAAAGATCCTGGGAGCCGTTGGCAGACGACAGGAGCTCAGTCCTCAGCTTCCTCAGCAGCAGGAGCAGCAGCAGCAACAGTGGTGGTGGCCTCCCTGAGCATCTTGTGGCTCTGGCAGCAACAGCAACAGCAACAGCCTAAGCAGCAGTAGTGGCCTCCCCGTGGTCCCCCCGGGGGCATCCCAGAGGTCTGGGAGCCCTGTGGATCAGAGCCATTCGTCCTTTATACTCAAGCCCAATAACCAAAGAACACCTGGGCGCACGTGGACATTAACGTCAAATGCTGGGCAAGATTCCAAACATCCGAGGGACCCTGACCATTTTCCTACATTCTCCCTACAGATGGATAGAAACTACATTAAGTTTATGATGGCATAGGCAAATGAATAATGGAACAGTTATCTGGAATTTTAAAAAATTATCTGACGTTATGTAAAGGAAGATTGACTGCCAGAGTGGATGATACACACTAAAAGTCCCTTTTTCTAAAGAATGAACTTCTTTCTTATCTGTAGTTATATTACTTCTGTAACAGAAAAAAAATGCATAAGAACAAGTAAAATGAGCTCAATAAAAGAAAGTATAGTAAACATTTGTTATTCATGGCAGTCCCAAATCTTTTGAAAAACCATTTCACATTTTGATAGTTCCTCACATTTTGTATCCTGCCTTCCCAAAGTAAGTTCTAACACTTAACATTTCCTAATCTTTCTAATTCTAGAGTCAAGGGTTAGGTCCTATAACTTAGTTTCCAACTCTCAGTTGCACCTGAAGAACAGGCAGGTCCAGACAGTCGTTCTGACAGCACAGGTGGTTTCAATGTCATGATTCTGGGGTCAGCAGAGGGAGCAGTAGTTTCCCCATTGTAACAAAGACAGTTTGGTTCTGGAATTAGTGGTGGCTCCATGGAGAACCTGGACTTTCAACCTTTCTAATGATTTCCTGGACTTTCTAATCACCCTTGATAAGTCTCTTCCCTTAAATGAATTAGAGTTGAGTTTTCTGTCTGCAACTAAAAGTGCTGACAGATAGAAAAGGTTAATAAAACTGGAATTTGCCTTAAAAAGGTGAATAAGAGATGACACAATTAAAGAGATCGTTCAACCAGAAGGTTCTGGATTAATTGTTTTTTTTTTTGTTTTGTTTTTTTTTTTTTTCTTTTTTGGCAGCTGGCTGGTATGGGGATCTGAACCCTGGACCTTGGTGTTATAACACACTCTAACCACCTGAGCTAACTGGTCAGCCCCGCTGGATTAATTGAATGTCAAGACTTTAAATATCTTAATTTCAAAAGGACATTGTGATAGAATAAATGACCTTTTAGTGAGTAAATACCATAAGTGTAACTCCCAGACCAAAGCATTTAAGAGTTGGTGTGTGACCCTGCAGCTCTCTTCTGCTGCAGCAACCATGGGGACATCATGATCCAGGTGGTGCAGCTATAAAGAGTCAAAGTCCCTATCAGCTCAGGTCTTTGAGAATCTGTATGGAAGACAGTCCCCTAGTGATCCAAATAAAACATGTAATGTGAGCAAGAATAAACCTCTGCTTATGTTAGGCCACTGAGATCTGGGGGTTAATTTGTTATACAGCATGGTCTAGCATAGCCTGATTAATACACAGTAGTATTTACAATGGAATGTGTTTAACAATCAAAATACATAAATATGTAATTGTAAAGCCTCGTATGTCTTAGAGAACATTTTATTCAATAAAAGTAAATCAAATAAAGAATGGATTAAAGATTTGTTGTCATTTTGTGTCACACAAAGATATCTGGGTTTGCTTGAAAGCAACAATAAAAATGTAGCACATTATGGAAAACCCTTTAGTGATGTTAAAAGTGACAAATAGATTATGCTTTTCAATTCTCTCACCGGCACCCATACACACAAAACGCATCTTAGTTTCCTTACAATAACCTCCCCCAAAGCAGTAAGCAATAGTAACAAAAGTAAACCATTTTTATTCACTGTGAAATTGTTGTTTGTCTGCTGAGAGAAGTGTGAGAAAATTTCCAATAGAATTTGTTTAAATTGCTTCTGGCAAAACTAAAGGAGATGTGAACGCAACACTCGTTTGAACAGACTCATCAACGTCTGTTTACTTTTGCAGCCTTTTCCTTTTCGAATGTCTATTTCAGCCAGCACAACAGTAGTTTTTTCTGCTCAGTAGTAAATGGCCTTTATTTCATAAGATGTATGAGATTCTCTCACCTGAAATAGACCACTGGCACAGTCATTTTCTATTTGTCTGTTATAATCCGCACGGAGTGATCCGAGCCACTGGGCCAACACTGGCAGAGGGAGCCATCATCGCAATTCTGTTGTGTGGCAGTTCCCAGTGTCCAAATGCCCTAATAAATAATCCTCTACTATGTCTTAAAGACTGTAAAGGATTCTTGAAAGGCTTGTTTTTGTTTTCTCTATAGCACAAAGGATCAAATAAGAGAAAATGGGAGTAAAATAGGAGAGATGTCTTTTGGATATAAAGAAGAACTTCCAGACTGCCAAAATGAAAAAAATATTGGAATGGGTTATTGAAAGAGAATGCCTGGTGTTTTTTCAGGCACTTTATTGAGAAAGACTAACATTTGTAAAGGCATAAGACTAGGTCACATACGTACTCTCTCACAGTCCTTTCCAGTTCCGTGGTTTTAGAATCAGAAGACTAATATCACATCAGAATTCTCTTGGCTTCTCTTGTTATCATTTATATCACTCAGTGTCTCTGGTACCTGTTATTGACTGGTGGGGCTGGGGGATGGCCTATGCCCCTGTTATGGCCAAGTGAACACACACACCCGTGCACACACTCACACACACACATAGATCAAACCGTTCTTAACTCAAGCATTCTCAGGACACATTCCGAGCTGTATGAGTCTGGTAGTGAAAAGAAGTTCACCATTGTGCTATCAAACTGCTTCATCTCTGAGCATGGCCCATGAGCATAGGCCTCACCGACCAGACATGGAGGGCATTCCTCCACGGGTGTTCTCTTGGCAATGGAAAGTGTTCTTACAGACCCCTTGTTTCTCACATAACCCCTTCTACCCTACCCAAAGTGTGCTTTCACTTATTTCTCCTCACCCCCAGCCCCTGTCGTCCCCACCTTTCCTCTCCAGGAGTGGCCCTTCCTCAATATTAGCAAGCCCTTGGTCTCCCTGTGGCCTGGAAATCCTGCCAGTCCCTGGCACAGGCTGGGAGTCACGACCTTTCTTTCTTCCACCTGTTCCTGATGCTGGATAGGAGGAAAGGGAAAGTGGCGATCTTTATCCTGAAGGCGGAGGTCAGAAGGACATAGGCTGGAGAGATTTGGTTTCTTTTTCTTTTCTTCCCCCACTCTGCACTGGCCAGCACATTAAAAAATTCAGACATCTTGCAGTGGAGAGTTAATCTTCCAACAGCTCTCAACAGGTCCATGTATGGAAATCAAATCCCCCAGCTACTATAACTTATCAATCAAAAGAGTGCCATTTTCCTCCCAACCTTATGTAACATTGCATCCCTTTTATTAACTAGTCTTGGGACTTAGCCACTGTTATTTACTTAAGAGTTGAAGAAAGGCAATCTCACCACACATGTAAAGTATTACGTAAGTTTCACAGGTCAGCAAACTGTAGCTATGGCCTGTGAGCCAAATCCAGCCCATAGTCTGTGTATTAGTCCGTTTTTGTTGCTTATAACAAACTACATGGAACTGGGTAATTTATAAAGAAAATGAAATTTATCGCTCACAGTTCCTGAGGCTGGGAAGTCCAAAGTGCATCTGGTGGCGGTGACAACGAACCAGTGGTCTCACATTGCAAGATGGTGGAAGCAGAGAGAGCAGAGAGAGAGTAAGACAGACTCTCCTCTCCTTTTAAAGCCCGCAGAACCACGCCCCTGACCACCATTTTTAATCCATTCACTACTGCATGGTCCTACAATCCAATCACCTCTTCAAGGCTCCACCTTTCAATTACCATAATAGGATTTCCCACCCTCTTAATAGTCACAGTGGGGGCTAAGTTTCTAATACATAAAACTTGGGGGACATAATTCAAGTTTCAGGGAGTTTGGGGGGGACATAATTCAATCCACTACAGTCTCTTTTATCAATAAAGTTGTATTGGAACATAACTGTGCCCATTCATTAACCTATTGTCCATGACTGCTTCTGCTCTAAAGTAGCAAAGCTGAGTGGTTGCTATGGTAACCACATTCCACAAAGCCTAAGATATTTACTATCTGGTTCCTTAGAGAAAGTTTGCCAACCCCTGCTATAATATATCACGTCTAAAAGCAAGACCACCTCAACCAAAAGGATTTATTTATATTCATTGTTGCTTTTAAGGATTTTGGATAATTGTGGTTTTTTGTTTTGTTTTCTCATGAACAGAAGACTTAAGCTCTAGAGAAGTTTACTCTTCCATTTTCTTTTTCCTATACCCTGCATGCCTTTAACGTGGCTAAAGGAGTTGTCATGTTTTAAATGGCAGGATCTATAAAATTAACATCATTATGTAACTATGTAATTTGATTTAGATAGGCAAGTCCATGAATCTCGGGGTCTCTCTCCACATCTTTTTATCCATTTCCAACTGGTCACCAAGTTCTATTAATTCTACCTCCTAAATGTCTTCAACATCTTTTTTATTGAAACATAATCGATTGTACATATTTGTTGGGTACACAGTATCCTATCAGAATTTGTGTACTATTGTACACAAATGATGTGATGATCAAATCAGGATAGTTAGCATATCCATCATTACAAAACATATTCATCGTGTCTTTTGAGCAATTTCTCCCTAATTCCCCTCCCCCACCCCTTTTCCCCCTTTTAGTAACTGCGGTTCTGTTTTCTCCTTCTGACAGTTCAACATATTATTGTGTTTGTTCTTTCTTTTTTCTTTTCTTTGTTGTATTTATTTTTCAGCTCCCACTTATGAGTGAGGACATGCAGTATTTCTCTTTCTGTGCCTGGCTATTTCACTTAACATAATTTTCTCCAAGCTCATCCATGCTGCTGCAAATGACAAAATTTCATTCTTTTTCATGGCTGAGTAGTATTCCATTGTGTATATACACCACATTTTCCTTATCCAGTCATCCATCAATACACATTTAGGTTGGTTCCATAACTTGGCTATTGTAAATAGAATTGCGATAAACATGGGAGTGCAGGTATCCCTTCGATGTGATTTCTATTCCTTTGGATATACATCCAGTAGTGGGATCGTTCTATCTGTAGTTGTTTGAGGAACCTCTGTACTGTTTTCCATAAAGGCTGTGCTAATTTACAGTCCCACCAACAGTGTGGAAGGGTTCCCCTTTCTTTGTATCCTCACCAGAATTTGTCATTCTCTGTCTTTTTTATGATAGCCAGTCTAACTGGGGTGAGACAATATCTAATTGTGGTTTTGATTTGCATTTCACTGATGATTAGGGATGTTGAGCATTTTTTCAGGTACTTGGCCATTTGTATGTTTTCCTTTGAGAAAAGTTTATTTAGCTCCTTCACCCTAAATGTCTTCAACATTAATTCCCCTTTCTCTATCCTCAGGACCCGGTTTGAAGTCCTTATCTCTTATCTGAACTATATCAATAGCTTCCTAATTACTCGCTGATGGAGTTTGGATATTTTGTCCTCCCAGAACTCATGTGGAAATTTGATCCCCATGTGGCAGTGATGGAAACTGATTGAGTCCTGGGGGTGGATCCCTCACAAATGGATTAATGCTCTCCCTGGGGGGGGGGGGGGGGGGGGGGGGAAATTGCTCTTTTAGTTCCCGCAACAGCTGGTTGTTTAAAAAGACATTGGAAAAACCTCTGTTTTTCTCTCTTGCTTCCTCTCGCCATGTGATCTGCTTGTACCCACCGGCTGCCTGACACTTTCCACCATGAGCAGAAGCAGCCTGAGGCCCGTGCCAGATGCAGCTGTCCCAGAATCGTAAGCCAAATAAACCCCTCTTCTGTATAAATTACCCAGTCTCAGGTATTTCTGTTATAGCAACACAAACGGACTAATACACTAGTCCTACCTCCAAGTCATCCCACCCCTACTAAGTCCTTCTCAGTATATGTAAACCACCCCCCCACCACTAAATCAC